GGTCCGCCCAGCGTCTCGAATTTAGTCTCTTCCAAGTTTTGAACAGTCGCAAACTTAGGTGATTGTGAACTCATCGTGGCCGTCTGTACCTACATCAGAAGAACGCAAAAATACTTTAAATTATTTGAAAATGACCAGCACTCTTTCCGCAAAGTAAATATAAAATTGTCGAAATGAGCGAAAGTGGCAAATGTCGAGAGAGTCTGGATGTTGAATAACACTAAGACCTGCTCTTGTTCATTGCCGTGCCCTCGTACCTACGCTTCGGCTTTCGGGCTACGATGACGCGTCTATTGACGCTTGGGGGTTCGAACGGTTGACGTGCCAATTTAATCACAAAGTCTTGCCAAAATGCGATTGGTGCGCTTGATCTCCCCATATTCCGACTAGCGCCCCCACTAAATAAGTCGACGAGGCGGTAAGCGATGATGATAGGATTTTCGCCCTAACGTCATGACTGGCCTATTTAGCTACAGCAGAGGAAATGCATATAGATAATTGGTCCCAACGTCAGCACTACCATTACGTAAAGTTTTATTTTGGGATTGGCATTGGTTCACTTCCATGATTGTGTACACAGTAAATTTGGCATGGTCATCAACTAAACACTCGCCTCTGTCTTGAACCTACCTGTGCCTCCTGTGGTTTGATTTCTTCACCTGGTTTGGGTCCGTCCAAATTGCTTTCGTTAAGAGTGCCGCTGGTGCTGCGTTTAAAACTAGACCGAAAACTGCCGCGTCGGTTGCCGCCGCTCACCTCAAGGCTGTTGACGAAGAGGTTGTTGGTGTTTGCCAACCTCATGGTCACCCCATTAGAGGCGACCTGTGCGGTGGTCGAAGGGGTTCCACTGCGAGTGATCATGTGGGCAAAGGGATTGCTCCTCTCCCATTGCACCCCTTGTCGAATAATAATGCATTATTTTTTAGCCATACTTGTGTTTCCTACCTCTCCACATTAGTTTTTTCTCAAAGAGATGGCATAAATCGTGCCTGTGCTGGCTACTCGCCTAGTAGATGGTAGTTATTTAAAAAAACGCACCCATTTGAATGAAATCGGAAGCGAATTCTGTGGCGATCGCGCGCGCCTGATCCGAAATATTCTTTGCCTCCTCCGCTCTAAGTTCGGCAGTCTTGGCAACACTCCGGGCAGTTTGAGCTCTACAGAAAAGTTAATAGAGTTGTACTTATACCGGCTCACAAAAAAATTTTTATAAAAATTAATTCGTAAATTTTGTAGTCGCTGGGTTAATTTGTGAATTTAAACACGACTGTATGTTGAAAGAAGCGAATTCGGGGCTCCATAAATCCGATCGGCGATAGCTAACCAGTCCCTCTCCACAACTTTCTCCGAACACCGAAGGCAAAGGAGGGGTCAACCCGAGGACACAGTTTCCCAGAAGTGCAGCGTCTTTAGCTTCTACAGTTCGACTTCTCTCTGACCTGATTAGACCGGATACCAATTAAAGGGTGGTTTTTGCCCGCGAATTGCTGGTATGTTTGCTTATACAGTCACACACACTGCCATCGCAAGCAGCTTACAGGTTGCCAACTTGGGTGAAGGAACAAAATGATATAGGGTTCAAATATGGCACAAAATTTGTAAACCGAAAGTTCCATTATTCCTTTAATGGTTGAAGACGTTTAGAATGAACTGAAACGATCGTCAATGCAATAGTTAATACGCATTCATTGTTTAGAGGCTGTTGTTGATAACTAGCCTTTGATGAGCAGTCTCGGCTGATTTTTCTTGGGCTTCTTTGGCCGACTCTCGGGCTTTCCTCACAGCCTCTTCCACATTATCCTTTAACTTTGAATGCCTGAGGAGGTAAAGCTTGGTCCTCTTCATCAGTGGCTGAACAATTATGTTCTCTTTGTAGCGGCCCTCTTCTCGACTTCCGTCTGGATGATAGGTAACTCCGTAACCATCCTTCTTATTGTTAAACCACTCCCCTTCGTAGCGGAGACCATCCGATCTCTCGGCCACACCGTAGCCAGATCTTCGATCTTCATTCCATTGACCACTGTAAGTCTCTGTCACGTTTGGCCCCAGTGGTTCGTCCAGGCTGTCTGTCGCACCAATTCCGGCACTGTCAACTCGACTTTGGTGCTCCACGAACATAGAGTTTCCTGTGGCGCCACTGATGTTTGAGCGTAAGGAACCACCGGCACGAGGCCCATGTATTCCACCGAATCGACCAGAGCCAGCAGAGCCAGGTCCCCCAATGGTATGGGGACCTACGCTGCTTAAATCACCGGTGGATTTGGGTTTCCGCAGTTTGCGCAGTAGGAACTGTTTGAGAGAGGTGCGTCTGTCGTTGGAGGAGGATCGAAAGGGGGTGGCAGATTGAGAACGAGAGGGTGGAGGTGTGGAGCCAGGAGGGTATGAGGTGGCCTTGAGCACGAATCCCGAGCGGAAGGTTTCAAACCGTCCACCATGGATATGGTCAACAGAGCCGGCAGAACCACCAGAGCTTCCAGGACCTCGCCAACCACCACGGTCGGAGTCGTGTGTAGAAGGCAAGCTGCTCTGGGATTGAGCAGCCCGCACTGTGCTGTGATGCTCTGCTGCCAGACCCCAAGGAGCGGATTTGCGAACACCTAAGCCCTGACGCATACCTTTTGACCAGGCGCCGGCGTAAATGCCTACAAGTAAGAAAGAAAGGAACACCATTGCGTCAAAGTTGCTTTTACTCTTTTCTTTGACGTTGAAGGTATAATGTTTGTAGTTCTTCTACGAACCCATCTTTTTTCCATATTCTCATTAGT